AAAACTCTCCCATGAGACCATAGCATTGGCTGGGACAGAGAAGGTAATACAGCTGGAAGAGGGCCCTGAGTATTTGAGCCACTTCTTCCTGTAACTCCCCAGTGCCTCAGAGGCGCTCAACCAGCTCGTATATGTATCACTTCTAGGTGATGACAGATTGTTGCTATGCACCTCCATGTTTATGGATTACTGAATCAAATAACATTTAGGTGGGGAGGGTCCGCTCATATCACATGGTAACTTGGTCATCATTCTGATTTCCAGGATCGTATTCCTTCCCAATCAATGTCCTCACTTTAACAGATCCTGCAAGATTGGAAATTCAATTTGCATTGTAATTCAGCCACTCATAGAGTGATACTTTGGGTTTGTTTTTCAGAAACTTCAGTACTATGAATACTGGAAATAAGTATTTTCTTAAGGGCAGATATTGGAAATTTCAGTTCATTCATACAAAACTTGAGATAAAAATTTGATGGTCTGAGTTCATCCCTTTCTTTCCCCTCTCTTCAGTGCAATTAGGAACCAGTCAACCTTATTAAACTAGTTATTTTGACTAATATACCTTAAGGCATCAAATATATGGTCATACAGAAGCTTGCTCTTTATAAACATTGGATTAGGAATATCCAATAAGATTGTTTAAAATACTTACTGCAACATCAGGTCATAATTTAAATATCTGTGCCCTTTTTACCACTGGAAACAGAATCATTAGTACCTTTAAATAAAATCAGATTAGAGCACCAACTCCAGAAAACTCACTTCTTATTCATAAAACTCTGGTTGAATGGTGATACACACACTGTAATCCCAGCAACTCAGAGGAACTCAAGTTCAAGGCCAGTCTCAGCAAGAGACTATGTATCAAAATTAAAAGAAAAAATTAAAAAGAGCTGGGGATGTGGCTCAGTAGTAAAATGCCCCTCAGTTAAACCTCCAGTATCCCACCCCCCTGAAAAAAAGAGCAAAAGAAAAATATTCCATTCCTCTAGAATAACTTTTTTTGGGGGGTGGGGGTACCAGGGATTGAACTCAGGGACACTCAATCACTGAGCCATATCCCCAGATCTATTTTGTATTTTTATTTAGAGACAGGGTCTCACTGAGTTACTTAGTGCCTTGATTTTGCTTAAGCTGGCTTTGAACCCTCAATCCTCCTGCATCAGCCTCCCAAGCAGCTGGGATTACTGGTGTGTGCCACGATGCCCAGCTAGAATAACTCTTGACAAAATATGTGTCAGTCAGGATCCTGCAGAGAAATAAAACCAGCAGGATACCTCTACGTAGGTAGGTAGGTAGTTAGGTAGGACATATATGGCACAGTTGAAGGAATTTGCCTGTACAGTTGTGGGGGCTGCCAAAACCAAAGCCAATATCCATATGGAAGGCAACAGGATGGAAATCCTTGGGTAGGGGCTGATGTTGCAATTGAGGTAGAAATTTTTCTTTCTCCAGGAAACCTTGTGTGCTCTTAAGTCTTCTCAACTGATTGGATTAAGTCCACCCACATTATGGAGGGTAAATCCATAACACTTAACTCCATACTAACTTAAAGTCAACTGATTATAGAAGTTAGTAACATTTTAAGATACCTTCATAGGCACACCCACCCAGATGAGCATTTGATTAAGTTACTAGTTACTGTAGCGTAGTCAAATTGACCCAACAAAGAAACCAGCATATATGGGGACTATTTTTCTTACTTCATTCAGTTTGTTTTAGAGAAATATTTTATCAGACTCATAAAATGAGTCATCTCTAGTTCTGATTATCTTGAATGCTTTGCCAAACTAAACGATATGTTGCAAAACAACAGGGCTTTTCATTATTCTACGTGTTACAGAATATATATTTGAATAATTCCTTTTATAAGTTAAGCCTAAAAATTGATAAAATTTCAAAATTAAATATTTTACAGTGATTGACCTTCACTGCTTAATTGTCTCAGGTCCTTCCTTTACTTTTGTAGTGGTAATTTCAATAGTTTCTCTTATAATCTTTGTTTTCATTAATTGCAGTTGGCTGAAAATTTTAAAACTTTGATATTCCACTCACTGAACACTTTCATTAAAGACAACTGGTTTTGAAGAAACTGCAACAAAAATAAACAGGGACCTCATTTGCAAACTAGTTCAATAACTTTGGAGGGCACTATTATTGATTTTAAAAGTGCTTTTTCATAGACTTAAACATTTGTAAAATAAAACTGATGTTAGGCAACAGAGACAAAAGTATATGTTAATCATGCTTAAATATTTTAAAATTCAAGGTTGGTTTAACCACCAAATATTTGGACTTTAGTTACTCTATCTATTATCTCACTTTGTTCCTTCTTCATGTATTCCTCAGATGTTGGTTATTTGTTCATATTTATAAGTGAAGAATGATTTTGGTGTTTATGTAGATCATTGATAAATTCATATGCAATTGTTAATTCTCTCTCCAGAAGCCAAAACTGATTTCTTCTGCTATTCTTGTAAATTATGTAATTTAAATTTGTTCTGGATGCCTTATTTTAAGCAAACTGTTGTTGTTGATAGTTGAACTAAAACAAATGTGGTTTGGTTTGTTATACCTTTGCTTTTTACTTTTAGATTCTACCATGATCTGCTTTACTGATGTGGATGACACAGAGCACTGAATTAAATTCTCATTTTAACATGTAGTTAAACCTGAAAGTCACCAAATGATAAACCATCTCTTCCCCTGATCCTTTACAAATGCTATGTGACTAACATCTCTCTCTCAATATCAGTGGGGCAGAATGCTCATTGAAAAAAATAAAGCTTGCTCAGATACAAGTGGTTAGGAATAGCTCTTTGGAGGCTGGGAATCCACAATCAAGACACTGGCAAGTTTCGTGTCTGGTAAGAACCTAGTCTTTGCCTTCAAGATGGAACCATGTTGAAAGGGACAAAAGCTGTGTCCTCATGAAGCCAGATTTAAAGATAGGTAGTTAGTGTAGCTAGGTAAATTGGGTCTGATGGAGAAAGTGGAGTCCAATTTGAGTCTGGGAAATCAGAAACAGCCCCTAGGAGAATGGAATGTTCATGTCTCCAAAGCCCTTTGATACTTCCTCCTCCCCAAAAGGTTGTTAATTAAGCAACTCCTCAGCAGATAGGGAGCTGCTAATCAAGGCCCCCTGGGCCACCATTCCCTTCCTGCCTAGCATTCTACTTAGGCCCTTCCAGCCTACCAACTCTACCCGCTGGCCATTCCACAGACATCCCCCAGTCACTATACAGGATAAGGGGAAAGGAACAAGATAAGGGAGAAGAATGCAGGAGAATAAGGGAAATTTTAGACATATCAAAGGGACATGACTTCCCCAAACCAAGGATTCTGCCTTTGGGTCCCCTTCTACCACACGGGAGAAGTCTATATTACTATCCTTTAATAAAGCTTCTTATTTTCTACTCTCCACTTGCCTTTTTTCTGATGTTATACTTCAACATTTGAGGAAGCAGGACTCACCAAGGTGGTATCACTCACATGGTTGGAAGGTAAGGGTCAAAGGGCATCTCGACTTTTTGTAAGGTCCATAATCTCATTCATGAGCGCTTAGTCTTACCAGCTATCAAAATGGGGCTTAAGTTCCAACATATGAGTTTTGTAGGAATAAGTATAGTCAAACCATAGCAATCATAATCATAAAAGGGAGAAGAGGGGTATGACTACTATGGTACAAAATTTAGAACTCATAATAGAAAAACATTAGCTAATTCAAATACAAAAATAAGACATGGCAACTAGCAAAAATAGAGGGGGCTGTGAGGACATGTAACTATAATCACAGGAAAAGTAGTAATTTCTTTAATATATGAGTAGATCCTATAAATCAAGAAGAAAATCTCAGCCCTCCAATAGGAAAATCAGCCAAAAGGAAATAGGACACTAAGCAATAAATTCAAAGTTAAACTAAAAATACCAATGGCACAAATCATTTTGCTGACATTGTGGGATACACTGTGGCAACACAACAACTCATACATTGCTTATGAGGATATAAGATGATACAACTTCTTTGCATATGAATTTCTCAATAGGTATAAAAATTTTAAAGGACTGTTCCTTTATTAAATCTATTCTAAAATTATTTCACAGATATGGTTGCTATATACGGGTTAAATAAAATACATTTATTCCATGAGCACTATTTAAAGCAGCAAATGACTCTAAACCTATGGGTCCATCAAAAGGATTCTGGGCTAACTTGGGTTTCATCCATACTTTGGAATTCAGATGAAGAGCAGTTAAAGAGAACAGATGACTCTAGACGTAGTGACAGGTATCTCAAGATCCTCTGACATACTGGATGAAGAATGTAATTGGCCAAACAGCTTTTGTAATACTATTAATGAAAAAGGTATATTTTTAAATGTCTTTGATATGCATGGAAATTCATAGAAAAGCGTAATTATAAAGATCACATTTGGCCCTTCCTTTGAAAAGAGAAATGGGATACAAAGATTTAGACTCTTGCACTTCTATTCCATGTACTCACCTCCAATTTTTACAAGGGCAAGGCATTATGAAGATAGAGAATAGCAATAGGAACTAAGTCAAGTGTGTGAGGTTCACAAAAAACCTTTACCTGAAAATTGCTACTAGATAAACTCCAGGAAAGGACAGGGTGCTAGTTGAGACACACAATGTTTCTTTTCCATTTGTGTGCCTGTAAATGGTCATTGAGGACTTGTCAAATTCTCGCCCCCCACCCCCTAAATTATGAGTCCTTTAGGCCAGGCACGCATTTGATCCCATTTGCAAAGTGTTTCTTGTGTTTAGCGAGGATTGATAAACGTCAAACAAGTCTCGAGCCAGTTAAGGGCGGGGTCAGACCACGTGCTCTGCAAGGCTGTCTCTTGCTTCTGGGCGCGAGAATTCTCAGCTCAAAGACTTCCTAGAATTTCTCCAGGAAACCGTCGGGTGGTGGAGATGGGAGTGACTCTTTAACCCGCAGTCCCGCAAGAGAACACCTCCTGGGCCTCCCGGAAATGAGTCTTAGTTCCTCTAAGGTTGCGCCACTGACGGAAATTGAGACTCAGGTGGGGCCCGAGCCAGAGGAGCCGGTCAACCCAGAGCCCCCACCGGAGCCTGCGAAGGAGGGGCAGTCGGAGGGCAAGTTCACGGAGCGGTCGGAGATCGGGATTGGACCCGACTCCCCGGAGTTGCCCAGGCCCCAGCGGCCGCTGCTCGACGCCTCGAAGCTGCTGGCCCATGAGGGTCGGGAGTCACAACCGAACTGGGCTTCAGGGCAGAGCGCAGAGCGGCTACCGCCCTTGAGGCAGGAATCCAAGCAGCTCCAGCCCCAGCCGCCGCCGCCGCCGCCCCAGCAGCCGTCGTCGCCGCCACCGCCACCACCGCCGCCGCCACCGCCACCGCAGCAGCCCCAGCAGCCGCAGCAGCCGCCCCAGGATCCATTGAGGACCCCTCAGCGAGAGCCATCGAGGATAACTCAAGAGACTGAGACAGTCCACAGAACTCGTTGCCACACCAACTGCCTGGAGAAGCCGCTCTCCCGCGCCTTCCAACGGCTGGGATGGTGTGTGGGTTCACACCCCTGGGTCTTCCTGCTGGTCCCCATCCTGCTGACGGCTGCACTTGGCATCGGCTTCATTTACCTGCCCAAGGAGGAGGAAGAAAACCTCGAGGAGCAGTACACTCCGATCGGGAGCCCTGCCAAGGCCGAGCGGCGATTTGTGCAGGCACATTTCACCACCAATGACTCATATCGCTTCTCCTCTACCAGGAGCAGCAGCGAGACCAACTTCGCTTCCATTCTGGTGGTCTCCAACACCGAAACACTGCTGGAATCAGAGATCTTTGAGGAAGTTAGTAAATTAGACCAAGCAGTGCAGACTCTGAGTGTGAGAAAGGAAAATGGAGCCCCGATCCACTACAGAGAGGTGTGTGCCAAGTACAGGACCTTCTGTGTGCCCTCCAACCCACTCCTGTACGTCTGGCAGAGGAACAAATCCCTCGACCTGAAAACATTCACCTTCCCCATGCATAACTTTAAGAACCACTTCATCTACCTGGCTGGCTTCTTTGGTGGAAATACCTTGGGCGATGCCGTAGGACAGAACCACTTACTTCTGGAAACCAAAGCCATGAGGCTCTTGTACTATCTGAAGACCGAAGTCAAGGAGGACAGTGAGCAGAGCAAGGACTGGCTGGTTCATTTTCAGGACGAATTTTACAACCTTAAGGAGAAGCTGGCCTTTAAAAATATCCAGGTACAGGGAAGCTGAGAGAAGATGGGAAGTATGAGAAAGGCTTGTTGGAAGGACAGTAACAATAGCATTTCCTATTTGAGGGGGACCTTGACTCAAAGCTGGGTGTGCTGTGTAGCATTTGGCCCTTAATCCAACTTTCTTAATTAACATTGAAGGATACCATAAATTATAAATAATTATTGATATTCTGGTCCATAACACAAATCCTATGTTTAGGATTCACATTTCATTTTGGGTTTGTTTTTTCTAATCAAATTACCTGGAAAAATCTTACCTTCAGACAGTCTTTTCTGATTTCTCAGAGCCCCTTAAAACTTGTTTGGAGCTCATTGGGATTAAAATGAGACTTTGAGGGAAGTTCCATGGTATTAAGAAGATAACTAGCTCACCATTTTTCAAGTTGCTTACAGATAAAGCACCTAGTTTAGTGTAAGGTACTTGTTAGGTGTTCGGTAATTTTGGCTCCGGCAATATTGGTGAAAGTGGGACACACACTGGAAAGAGCTTCTGAAGAGCAGGCCTTCTTGAAATGATGCTTTTGCAAGTAAAATAAGAAAAGATACCATTCTAGTAAAAATTTACAAAACAAAACACACGTTTCAGTTTTGTTTTTTTTTAAAATCTGTCCGAGATTTTATTAGCAGGACTGTGGCAGCCAGTCGCAGAAGAGAAGGGGGTCGAGAGAGTGCAGAGGGGGAGGGGGGGAAGGAGAGGGGAGAGGAGAGGGGGAGAGTGAGAGAGAGAGCGCCCTGACCAGGGTGTTGATATTTATGGGCTCAACGCAGGATGAGGAAGAGCAAGGCAAGTGGGCTGTTACTTCTTCATTGGCTGAGAGTTCGCGCCACTTCAGGGATTGGAGGTGCGCCATTCACAGGCATTGGAGGTGATGGTTGCAACATTCAGTGCATCATGGACCTGAGCTCCTGGAAGAGAATCGCTCCAGGCGCCATCTTTACCAACACTCCTCCCTTTTTTGTTTTGGTTTGGGGGCGTTGTAATTGATCTGGCTGCTTCCTGCTGAGAAGGGGTGTCGTTTAGAGGGAGGAAGGGAGGACAGTTGGTTAGAGAAGGAGGGCCAGGAGGCCCCATATCCATGCACTGAAGGCATGGATTTCCTCTGGGGAGAAGTTCATGAATGTGCCCTGCAGCTATGAAAAGAAACAGCATTAATTTCTGGCATGTCGTCCAGTCTGTAGGGCTGGTAGAAAAAGGCCTATGCCCAGGAGAAGGCAGACTAGAACATATAAAGCTGAAAACCAAGGGCTTATTTCTTTGGCATGGTGGGATAGAGATGGCCTTTCGGAGGAATTGTCATTTGGTATCTTCATCTTTCAGCACTTGGTGGAGGTTTCTTGGGATGAATGGACATGAATGTCATCCAGCTTGTTGGCAAGTAGCTGATAATCCCATTCCGCAGGCTGGTGGTGGATGTCAGGCAGGCGATTAGAGGAGTGGACTAAGACAGGAACTGTTGGGCTTGAAGTTTGGGAACGGGGTTCCACCTTGAGTGACGGGGATCCCCATCCTGGGTTTTGGCACCAGTGTAGGAACGGCAGAAAAGCTCCGTAAACTCAATAAGCCCAAACAACTGTTTACCTGTCCGAGATTTTATTAGCAGGACTGTGGCAGCCGTTCGGAGAAGAGAAGGGGCGGGGGAGGTAGAGAGAGAGAGGAGGGGGAGAGGGGGAGAAGGGGAGAGGGGAAGAGAGAGGAGAGGAGAGAGGAGAGGGGGAGAGTGAGAGAGAGCACGTTTCAGTTTTTAAGGAAGACATGATTTCACAACTTGATATAACATTCAGTTTGGGTATATTCAATTTTTAAAAGAGTTTGGAAAGCACAACAGATTTTGTGGGAAGAAGTAAATCTATATTATCTTCTGTATTCTAAAATTATAACCCATGTATTTTGATCTTTCACTAAATTTTATGTTTCTATCAATAAGCTAAAGTGTTTCAATAGTGTTTGTAACTCATACACAAATATTGAAATTCAAAGCTATTTACCTGAGTATATTTTTGTGGCAGGTGGTCCACTTTACATCACTTTCCAGACAACTGGAATTTGAGGCAACTTCTATGACAGTGGTCCCTTTGTTTCACTTGGCCTACCTTCTAATCATAATATTCGCAATTATATCATGCTACAGGTAAGACACTTTTATTAGTTTTTTATCTCTTTACTTTGTAAAAAGATGTGATAATTATATATATATATATATATATATATATATATATATATATATATATATAATATAAGATATGGTATCTTAACCATTTTTAGTAGTACAATTAATGATATTAATTATATCCACACTGTTGTGCAACCATCTATTTCCAAATTTCTCCGTCACTTCAAACATAAACTCTGCCCATTATGCAATAATGCACAGTTGCTCCCTCCTCCCAGTCCCAGTGAATTTTTAATATAAATTCTATCTCTATGAATTTGCCTATTTTAGAGACTTGTTTTTTTTTTCTTACTGGCTTATTTCACTTATCATAATGTTTTCAAGATCCACCCATCTTATAGCAGGTATCAGAACATTCCTTTATATTGTCTGAATAATATTGAGTCCTCCAACTTCGTTCTTCTTCAAGATTATTTTGGTCATCTGGGGCTCCTTGCAATTCCATAGGAATTTGAGAACTGTTTTCTCCATTTCTCAGGAGAAAAGGAATTTTGATAGGAATTTTGTTGAAAGGTAAATTGTTTAGGGTAGGATTGACATTTTAGCAATAAATGTCATGAACTATCCATCCTATCCATGAGCTAAGGGTTTTTTTCACTTTTTGTGTCTAGTTTCTTTCACTAATGTTTGGTATTTTCAATGTACAAGTCTTTTCACTTGCTTGGTTAAATTTATTCCTGGCATTGAATTTGTTTAGAGATATTTAAATGTAATTATTTTCTTAATTCTTTTTTGGATTTTTTGTTGCACATGTATAGAAACACAACTGGGTTTTGTGTGTTGATCTTATATCTTGCAGTTTTGCTGAATTTGTTTATTAACCCTGGTAGTTGTCTTGTAGATTCTTTGGAATGTTTGTATATGGGATCATATACTCTGTGAAAAGGGATATTTGTATTTCTTTCTTATTTGAATATCTTTTATTTTCTATTTCTTGTATAATTGCTCTGGCTGGAACTTCCAGAACAGTGTTAAATATCAGTGGTGAAAGTAAGCATCCTGGCTTTATCCCTAATCTTAAATGAAAATCTTCCCATCTTTCAGTCTTGAATATGATGTTAGCTGTGAAATTTTCATAAATGTCCTTCTCATTTGGAGAAATCTCCCTTCTATTCTTAGTCATTGAGTATTTTTTTTAACATCACAGTGTGGGATTTTGTTAATGCCTTTTCAGCATCTATTGAGAAAGTTACGTGTTTTCCTTAGTTCTATTAATGTGATGGATTGTGTTGACTGGTTTTCTCCTGTTGAATTACCCTTGCATTCTGGTGTAAATCCCATTTGACAGTGATATAGAACTATTTTATTATGTTTTTAACTTGTGTTGCTAGAATTTGTTGAAGACTTTCACATCTATATAAATAAGAGATAGTGGTCTAATTTTCTTGTTAGGTCTTTGGTTCTGATATCAGTGTAAGAAGTGTTCCCTCTGCTTCAATTTTCTGAGAGTGTTTGAGAAGGATCATTGTTAATTCTCTTTGGATATTTGGTAGAATTAATTAGTGAAACCATTTGGTCCCAGACTTCACTTTTTGGGTGTTTTATGATTATTGGTTCAATTTTAATTGTTATGTCTATTGCAATTTTCTATTTCATTTTGAGTCAGTTTAGGTAGTTTGTGTGTTGGTAGGAATTTCATTTGTTTAGGTTACCCAACTTGTTTGCATACAGTTGTTCATAATATTCTCTTATGAATTTTTATACTTCTTTTATAATGTCTCTACTTTCATACTGATTCGGCTACTTGTGTCTTCTTATATTTTCTTCGTTGAACAAAGTAATGTTTAGTCAAGTTTATTGATCTTTTCAAAGAACCAACTTTTGATTTTATTGATTCTATTGGTTTTGTATTCTCTATTTTGTTTATCTCTTCTAAATATTTCCACCTTTCTTGGTATGGTCTGAATAATTGTGCCTTTCCAAAATTGTTAGGATGAAAGATCCCCTTAGTGATAGTATGAAAAGTTGAGGCCTTTGCAAGATGACTAGACAGAGATTAGTGCCCTTATGAAAGAGTTCTTGGGGAGCTTGTCAGCTCCTTCAATGATGTAAGGACATAGTGAGATGATGCTTGTTTTAGTCAGCTTTTCGCTGCAATGTCTAAAATACCTAACAAGAACAATTTTAGAAGAGGAAAATTTATTTGGGGGCTTATGGTTTCAGAGGTGTCAGTGTCAGTCTATAGTCAGTTTCATTCCTTAGGGCTCAAGGTGAGGTGGAACATCATGGTGGAAGAGTGTGGTATAGGGAAGTGGCTCAAGACATTGCACCATGAACCAGAGAGAGAGAGAGAGAGAGAGAGAGAGAGAGAGAGAGAGAGAGAGAGAGACTCACCAGATACAAAATATATACCGAAAAGGCATGCACTCAATGACTCACCTCTTCCAGCCATACCCTGCCTACCTTCAGTTACCACTCAGTTAATCTCAGGGGATTAATTCACTGATTGGGTTAAGGATGACATAACCCAGTTATTTTACCTCTAAGCCTTCTTGCATTGTCTCACACTTGAGCTTTTGGGGGATACCTAATATCCAAATCGTAACACTAGCATATAGTCTATATTGGGAATTGTTCTATGTGCATGTGAGAGGAATGTATATTCTCCTATCGTTAGATTGAATTTTCTACATCTCTGCAGATTCTAACTGGTTTGTAATGCTCTTCATTTTCTCTATGTCCTTATTGGCTTTCTGTCTAGATGTTTTATCCATTATTAAAATTGGTATATTGAATTTTCTAACTATTAATGTAGAACTCTCTTTTCAGTTACTATGTGTCTCTTTCTGTACTTCACTTTCAATGTATTTATGTTTCTGATCTAAAGTGCATCTGTTATAGACAGCATATAGTTGGATCATGTTTTATCCATTCTGTGAATGGATGTCTTTTGATTAGAGAGTTGAATCCATTTCATTTAAGGAAATTGCTATAAGGACTTGCCTTTGCCATTCATTTTTCTGTTTGTGTTCTGTATGTCTTACAGCTTTCCCCCGACCCCCATTATGCTCCCCCCCCCCAAGTTTAGTTTATATTCTCCTAGGGAACTCCTTTGATTCCTTTCTCATTTCCTTTTATGATGTTTCTAAGAGATTTTTTTTGTGGTTGCCATGGGGATTAGATATAGCATCCTAAATTTAAAACAATCTATGATCACATCACTTAATGATGTGGATACAGTCTGAGAAATGTGTTGTTAGGCAATTTGAATGTCGTGCAAACATTACAGGGTAACCTTATACAAACTTATATAGTATAGCCTATTGTTCCTTGGCTATAAACCTAAATAGCATATTACTGCACTAAATACTATAGGCAGTTGTTACACAATGATTAGAATTTGTGCATTCAAATGTATCTTAACATAGAAAGGTACAGTTGAAATGTGACATACAAGATAAAAATATTATACCTGTATAGGGCACTTGCCATGAATATAGCTTTCAGGTTTGGAAGTTGCTGTAGGGGAGTCAGTGTATTAATGGGGAGTAAATGTGAAGTCCTGGAACATTACAATACTATTATTAATGCTTAGAACTCAGTACACTTGGGCTATAGTAAATTCACAAAAACAAAACAAAACAATTCAGTACTGGGTTAATTTTAGCTTACTGTAACATTTTGCTTTATAACTTTTTATTATTTTAAAACTTTTTGACTTTTGTGATAAAACTTAATAAAAAACAAATGCATTGTACAGGTGTACAAAAAGATTTCCTTCCTTTATATGCTTATTCTAAAATCTCTTCTATTAAAATTTATTTTGTATTTTTAAACTAGTTCTTAAACACAAACACACACACACACACATTAATCTCAGTCTACACAGGGTCAGGATCATCAGTATCACTGTCTTCCACATCTACATCTTGTCCCACCGGAATGTCTTGAGCGGCAGTTACACCCAGGGAGCTCTCACCTCCAATGATAACAGTGCCTTCTTCTGGAACATCTGAAGAGCTTGTCAAAGGCTCTTCTTGAAAAGGTATCTTTTTTCAGAAATATGTCCACAGTGTTTGCTTCTTTTTTTTCCCCATCATTAATTGCTTATAAGCAATTAATGCACCATGAACATTCCTCTCTATTAACAAAACCTTTGGTATTGGGATCCAAATTTTCTGACTTTTTAAGGAGCTTGTTGAGGTCTGCAAAGCTTCTACTAATCTCTTTGTTAGGAATTTTTTGGAGGTTTTTTTCCTTCTTGGTTTTTTTTCCTTGTGTCTTCTTCAGCTATATATTCACACTAGGTGACAGGAATTTTTTAGCTGCTTTCATCTTATGGAACCACCATTATGTATGTAGTTCCTTATTGACTATATTATTGTTAGCCAAAATATCTCATGACTGAATATTGAACTGATACCAATTTAACCTCACAGACACAAAAACTCTACTCTTACACATCTCTGTCCTCTCTCCTTTTGTTGTTCCCAAATTTATCTTTATACATTGTATGCCCTGTAACATAAACTAATGATTATTTTTATTTATTTGTCTAATAGACTCTATAGGAAATGTGGAGTTATACCCCAAATAAAGTAGTACTTGTTTTTTTTTTTTATATTTATCAATGAATTTATCTCTACTGGGGATTTTTATTTCTTCCTTGAACTTAAGAGTTACTGTTTATTGTGAATTTCTAAATTTCCCAGTGAACAAGATTGTTTTTGAATCTTCTAAATTCCCAGAGAGAGAAATGCATCTTTTGCTTCAGATAGTCTTTTGTGTGTTTGGACTCTGATGTTTGGATCAGGAATCTGAGGGGTGTGGATTCAGCTTGCATGGTGTTCTAGCTCTTTCAACCTGAGTTATAATTTAGGAAGAACATAGAGGAATGCCTTGTATCCAGGTAGCCCCAGACAAGTTAGAACAGATGTATGCATCATTTTGTGAGTAGGTCAGCTCAGCTCCCTCCAGATCCATGGAAATCGTTCCACACTGGGAACATGGGATGTCAC